GGGGCATCTCTGGGAGTCGAATGGAAACACTCCCGATGGGCTGGTGGCGAAGATCGTTCCCTGGTCGGGAAGCAGGCTGCAGAGTAGTACTCTTCTCGTCTCGGAACGGAGGAGTATCTAGAGTGGTACCAATCGTCCAATCTCGCATCTGAGGAACGGCTCCTACGGCTTCTTGGAGGGGAGATGGCGATACCAGTATCCATCTGTACCGACGGCATTGGGGTTGGTGATCGAGCTCTAGGTGGAGAGTCTCTTATTTCCCCATCAGAGATGGAACCCCTCCTCGATTCCATGACGGGTTCGACAGCCAGCCGGCGTGGTGAACCCGGTGGGGTGACCCTCATAGCCTCCTGGATGGTCGGTACCGAGGGAGTCGGTTCCGAGACCGGTATCGGGATTGAAGACGAGGCCAAGCCCGAATGGCGTTGTTTTGCCTGCTCAGGGTTCCTCGGCTTTTTAGTCGGTTTGCTCATCTTGTCCTTCTTGGCCTTCTTATGCACAGGGTGTTTATCTGAATCACTGTGCTTTCTCTTCTCCTTTTGTTTCCTCGGCAGGGAAACAGGCTGGTCGGCCATAGCATGTGTGCCTTCCTGAGAGGAACGTGAAGGCAGAGCAATGGAGGAGGCCGGGCATTGCGGCAAATCAGCCGAAGTTGGACGGCCTTCGGGTGGGGCCACAACAGTGGAAGACTTAGCCACCAGGCAGTCCGATTGGAGAAGAGCCTGGTCCCACAGGAGTTTTCGAAGGCTGTTCTCTCTATTTTTTCTTGCCTGTTTTGAGAAGGCCAAACAATGGCCGCACTTATCGGTTCTGTGCCCCTCCCCTAAACAAAGGAGGCACAGATCATGCGGATCCGCTGCGGGCATTTTCGAGCCACATTTTCCGCATTTGCGGAATGCTGCCCGTTGCGCCATCGTAGAAATTTTGAAAAGAAAGAAGATAGTAAAGCGGGAAAGTAATATTTTTGTTTTTGTTTTTTTATAGGAACGATAAGACGAAAGAAAAAATAGTGCACGTTAAAAGAAATATAAGTGAAGTATTAACAACAAGAACAAGGGATACAACTTGATAAGAGAAAAAAGGCAAGGATTTTCGAACGAGGAACGAGGTAAGTAATAAATCTTAGCGAGAGTGAAGCAGCACGAGGCACAGCGAACAGCGGTCGCAAAGACTGGAAAATGGCGGTCACTCTGCTCCTTATATACTGCTAGGGGGGAGGGGGAGCAGAGTACCCGCCGAAAAGGAAACTGTTAGCTATCAATATTCCGGCCAAAGGCACTGCGCAGGCGCAGAACCCATATGTGTGATGCACAGAGGCCACGACGAAGAACAGGAGAGCACAGGACCAATCAGCCAACTGGGGGAAGTGCCCAAGAGAGAAAGCACAACGTGATTGGCGAGGTGCAGTGGTGCCTTGTGTATGTGCTGGGGAAATTGAATGCGAGGATGAGACAGAGAAATAAGGATCTCCACTGTAAGATCCTGCAGCACTGAGAAGAGCAGAGCACTCTGCTCAGTGATGAGAAAATGATCCATTCCAACAGAGTGGCCCTCAAGCTTTGCTTTGTGGATTGCTTTAGTAGTGGGCCAGCAGGTCTTATCTGGACACCAAAAAAAGGTTTCGAGGGCAAGCAATCTGAATATCTACCACTTCTTGGCTTGCTCGAGCAACGTGGAGTGGCATAAAGAGGAGAGGCTCCAAAAGGTCTCCAATCCAAAGGCCTCCTGCACAGCAGGGCGTTTTGACCTGAGTAGCAGAAGAGGCCACTCCATGTGGCCTTCAAAGACTTCTGCTTGAAATGCACTGAAGATCACTGGCCGAGATGGTGGCCCTGAAGCCCAGCAGTCTCATAGTTCACTATTTTTCAAGTGCGAGCCACTTTGGCACTGCCCCCAAGGCCACTTGGGGGGTCTTTCATGAGCCATGAGGGTGGGTTTTCCTGTCCCACACTACAGTTCACCAGTGACTCTGAGTACAGGACCTGGCTGCAGGGTTTTGGGGTCTCTGCTCCCCATCACCGAAGCAAGGACTCTCCAGGCAAGCAAATTCGCTTGGTCCTTGGATGGAAATGGATCTTCTCTCATTACTCCCCTTTATGTGATGTTGCAAACTTCCCAGCGCCGCTTCGCGTTGCTCTTTCTCACCTGTGCTTTCCATTTTGCCTCCAGTGCCAGCCCACTGCGGATAGCATATTGCATCGCAGTTGTGTCGCTGCTTGGGCTCCCTCCACCCCATGAACTAATTGGCTGCGTGCTCCTTTTTCATGCCCCCCCCCCACCAATACGCAGCCACCTTGGAGCCGGTGCACTGTGACTCTCTTAGCTCCCCATTCCTGAAGCCTTTGCACTTAGCCCAGATAATAGTAAACGGCCCAGCATGAAAACAAACAAGAAGGCAAAACTAGAAAGCCGAAAATTATAAAAAAACTATGACTATGACTATAAAAAACTATGAATCATCAAAGAACTTCACCGTTTTAACAGCAAAACCCAATCCTGGCAGGGCAAGCCAGTTCTGACTACTCTGCCATTAATTATCTTAATGTATCCCCCATGGATCTGCCACTTTCAGGAAGGTTTTGCAATTACATCAAACAGCTTAGCCCATGAAGCTGTGATGGGGCAGGGACGTTTCAACCACCTTTGATGTAATGATGCACGATTAACGCACTTGGCCATCATTTCAAGTATAATTAACTTTTCCCTGTCAGAGATAATGATGCACTCTGTCCATAAATCCACATCTTTAATAAGACCATTAGGGACAATTAAACAATTATGTACATGTGCAAAAGAGGGGGGGCACACATGGTACTGAGAACAGAATTCACTTTTCCAAGAAATGCAGCTCTTTTTTTCCACCCATTCTTTGTTAAAAATAAGTTTCTAGCCCTCATGCCTGCAAATATATCCTTGTATTATGGGGCCTGTGCTTGCTAATGTATCAGCAGCTGTGGGAGGGGGCACTAAATGATTTTTCAAGGGTTGGGATTCTAGTTTCATTGTTCTGTACAAATCCTTGCCCAGTAACAGCAGGTTAGATGGTCTAAAGCTGCACAAATGGCAGAATAAATTATACTAAATAAGAAAAAAATATGCAAATACATACCAAAAACAGCATTCAGCATACTAGGGAAGAGGGAGTGCTTGGATTATTTTTATCCCACTTTATTTATATCCCACTTTTTCCTTGTAGAAGGAACTCAAGGAACTTGCATAGCTACATGTTATCCTTACAACAAGAAGTGTTCATGATTTGAGCCCTGCTTACCTTGTAGCCAAATAGGAAGATCCCAAAAAAGAGACTGTAGAGGTCAGCTGTCAGAATGCCCAAGTTGACGGAGGTTGCACTGGTGACTTTGATCACCAGCGGCATGAAGCTGTACAGCCCAAACATGCACACAGCAAAAGCCAGGAAGAGCAATGCTGAAAGGCAACACTGAAGACAATGAATGCTACCCGACATGCACGAGAAAGAGAAGTACAAATATTCTCGAAAGCCCTTGAGTTCATGCACACAAATAAAGAACAGCCTGCGGAATCAGAGCCCTCCAAAAAGCTCCTATAAACCAGACATAAGGGATATATATGCTGTTACCCCTCAGTAATGTTATTCAGAGAGCTGCACTGCCTGGGGGGAACTCTTGAGATGGTTCAAACTGGGATGTCAGCTCTGCTGCATTCATTGGCCCTTCCTGTCTGCTTATTCCACTGAGTGGGTCCCTGGACACCTGCCCTGAAGTTCTGCCCTGACAGCCCCACTGCATAGACTTTGCATGGAGGTTCCATATCTCCATGGAGGCTATGATAAATGCAGAACGATAAACGACTTCAGACAGGAAAAATGTAATTCCCCTTAAAACCATCTAAGCCAGTGGCAACCACCATATTTACATAGGTAGTGAATTCTATAAATGTGCTACATGAAAAGTGCTTTCTTTTGTTTGTCCTGAATGTACTGCCAATCAAATTCACTTGACTCTACATTCTAGAATTACAGGATGAGGAGAAAAATTTCTGTCCATTGACTATCTCCACATGAAGCATGATTTTATAAACTCCTGTTAATGATCCCCCACTCACCCCTGCATCATTCGTTTTCCAAAGCATCCTTTCCCAAATTAATGCTGAACTACAACTCTCATCATATATGCCCAGTGGCTGGGTATGATGGGAATTGTAACCAACAACATCCTTGGACTCATGGTTGCTCAACAAAAAAGTGCCCATGCTTTTGTTGCTTCTTTTTGCACCTACATTGCTCCTGGAAAGAGCGGAGACCCTCCTATGCCCTGTTTGGAATTCACCAGAGCCTGAGCTTCTTGGGGGCCACCACAGAGAACCCTATGAGCTAGCTTTTGAGTGCTGTGAGCCTATGGGACAAGGACCACTTTTTCCAAAATATACTATCCTAGCATTGTTAGCCCAGAATCTAAATCAGGCCTGGAAAAAGAGTTGGGTCAGAAATTTTAGCTAGATTGCCAAGGTCAAGAGGCCCAGAGATAAACTAAGAGGCTGGTGGAAACCAGACCATGTCAACTTCTATGAGAAACACTGTTGCACAGGCAGAGTTTGAGAAGGAGCAGATGTAAGATCATCGGTCCCATAGTCTGGTATCAAATCAGAACTGCAGACCCGCTGAGGAGCATCTGGCATTCTCACCATCTGGCCCACAAGCAGCAGGAACCATCCTGAGGATAGAACTAAATTCTTTTCATGTGGAATTGGAAGATGGAGCTTGTTTGGAAGCAACTTCTTAGCATTAAGCTGCATTTCCCTAAAAGCTGGCATTCTAGCTTCCTTGGTCTCTTTTGTTAATAACTCCTTGTTGTATGACAAAGCCAACATAAGCATCCAGTTCTAACATAATACAGACTTTCATTATAAGTCTCTTGTCCTGATCCTGTTTGGCAGGGATGCGAGCAGCTACGGAAGACCAGCTTCCAACAGGTGTTACCATCTCCTCTGTTTGTAGCTTTTTAACTGGCTTTCTGCTCCTATTTATCAGAAGCTGCATTATAAAAAGTCAAAAACTATTTTGGCCATCTTTTCCAGGACTGTGCATACTGATTTGCAGTGGCTTTCCAGCATTTCACATACAGAAGTGACTTTCACAACAGCCACTAAATAATTTTTTTCTGGAGATCCTGTGCATCAAATATGAGCACTTCTGTATGCAGAAAATGCATTCTCCCACTGAGCTACACCTACTCTCATGTTTTTAAATCTTCTGCCTTGCACTATAAAGTAACACAACCAAGGCACAATTCTATGCATGCTTAGACAGAAAAAGTCCCATGCCTCCCAGCGTTCCCATCAACCTTTTCTTGTCTAAGCCAATGGGCTGCAACCCAAAGAAAGGTACCTGAATCCTTATACTTTCAATCTAATAAGGAGAGGCTTGTAATATGAGGTCTGAAAGCAATGATCACTTGTTTATGGGAAGGCGAATTAGAGAAGGTTGTCTCCCTCTAAACTAATAGGCAGCACAGCAAAAACTAAAACCAAACCTGAGTCTCCACCCAATCCCTTGCCCTTCTGCTAAGATTTGTAACAGGGAAGATAGTATACATATTATAGAAATACCCCCATAAAGGGAGGGTACAAAACAATTCAAAAATTATTAGCTCTGGTATTCCAGAATATACATACCAACTTTCCAGTTCCACTGAATATTAGCTATGTCTCGATGTTCCACAATGGCTCTAAAAAGAAGGCAGGGAAGGAGGAGGAAGAGAAGAGACAAGAAGAAAAAAGCAGTGGCATTAAAATTTGGAGGTGTAGCTTCCAAAATCTGACACAGCAATCCCAGTCTGCTGACCTCCCAGCATATGATATCACATACCCTGCCAGTGTGGCCAACCTGGCAGCCCATACAGCCAGATTGGGGAGGTTGATCTATCAGGAACAACAAGGATAACAGCAGTAGCAGACAAAGTAGATGAGACCCCAATCCTACACATGCTTACCTGAAAGTAAGCTCCACTGAGTTCAGTGGAGTCCACTTTCAGATCACTGTAATTATAGCCTCAGTGGTCAACACAAAAATAGTACTTTTGCACCAATCAACCTTCTCCAATCTGGTCCCCTCCAGGTATAATGAAATGCAGCTCCCAGGATTCCCAGCCACCTGGGAATGATGAGATTTGTAGTGATGCCAGGTTTTATGGAAATAGAGTCCACTGTGTCAGATGTTATATTAGTTTATTAAAATATTTATATCCTGTCTTCCAGCTCCTTAATGGAGCCACTGAAGCAATTAACAACTTCAGTAAATTCATCAATAAAAACAAACTGAAGGCAACATTGTCATCATAAAAGCAAAGATTAGCAATCAAAGAAAAGTTGCAGCAATCCACCAAGTTGAAAAGTTCAGTACAAATCTTCTGTCTCTGAACAGCAGATGTAGGGTCCTGTGAAGAATGAACAGTGGGATTTTCCAACTCTCAGAGAAATCCTATACAACACCCTCAAAGGCTGCATGCAATGCACAGGCCTATCTCCATCCTGTTTTGAACACCACAACATTTGACTTATCAAGAAATGTGAGTTTAGGAAATATGTTACTGGAATTAAGCTTTCCTAACTAAAACATGGTTAACCTGTGAAACCATTAACGGTAATCAATATTGTCTCATCTGAACACGTTTAGCTAGCATTCTTCTTAGTTGTAATTAAGGCATAAGCCACTGTAAATAAATGCCTTTTTAAACAGATTGCTCTAATCTACTGTTGGTTATGCAACAGAGACAAAATGCCAATGTGCGGGGCACTCCTGGTCTGTAACATGCCAACACTGCCTTTTCAGGATTCTGCATTCAACTTCCCCTTGCTTTTCCATTCCCCACCAGCAGCAGCTATTGAGTATTCCACGGGCACTGCAAATCTTCAGTCCTTCCTTGGTTGCTTCCCTGCCCCAAATTTTTGTGCTTCCACAAACCTTGAAGTTTCCCCAAGGATGCTCTTGCAGTTACATATGAATTCACACTTGGAGAATGAGTTTGGTATCAGTCCACAGGATTACTTTAAGGAACAGTAGTTAAAGCATTTTGACCAAGATAAACTCCGTTGCTTCCAGTTTCATTGGACAATTCTATTTCTAAAAATGGGCGACCACTTTTTCTTTTTAATTTGGATGGACATCGAGGCCTTTAACACTTGTATAGTCAGGAGTCAATCAGATAAATTGTTCCCATTATGGCAATGAAGCAAAGGGAAGAAAGAGTGAGCTTCTGTTTGTTATAAAACTGTTGAAGTTTGCAGATCAACACTGCAAAAGGGGACAACCCTATCCAAAAATGCAAGATGCCAACCTGCCAATGATTAATCCCACAAAGAGTCTTTAATCCTGTGGCTAATTCCACAAAGGTCAGCAAGATTATGTGCATGAATAACCATTTACAGGACTTGGAATTCCAACAAACAGCATGATAAGCCTATAAAACAGCAAAAAGTCAATACAGAAAGAAAGCTAAGTACATGCCAAGTATGCGAAGAATGAGCTTGGTCAGGCAACTAAAGAAAATCTAATTGCCTAGGATAGCCATGGAACAACCTGGAGTTTCCCATCACCCCTCCCCCACATAAGATTATGTCCTGCTTGTTATGGAAGGTGTGGGAGATGGATAGATGAAAGGACAGTAAGATTGAGAGAATGTCAGGGAAAAACCACAGCTACCCAGTTCCTCAATTTAATAGTTCATTGCAAAGTAAAGAATGATTCTCTGGGTTGCAGCTTGACAACCCAACAGATGCCCACGTTCCAACAAGTCTAAAAGCAATGTTAACAACGGATTTCTACACACCGATCAATTCATGGAAGGGAAGAAATCATTCTTTGCTGTGGATGGTTTTCTTAATTACAAGTAAAAAACTTATAAGGGTCCTTACAGCTGCAGACTGCTGATAATAGTCCCAAACAAGCCCACCATTCCTAGAAACTCCACTCTGCTCAGATTTTTCACAATGTATTCCTCACTCACATTCGAAATGGCATATAATGAAGCACCAAGAAGGACTAAGACATCTCCAATCACCACGTTGCTTCCTATTAAGACATAAATCAACAAAAAGCAAATAGTTGTAAAATAGAACATGTGGGACTGTTTAATGTTAATGTTACATATAACTTACATGAGTAATGTTTCCAGCTCATAGTTGAGAAAGGAGGATTTCTAACTGGGGACTCCATTGCCTCCCTTCTTTTCCAAAGATCCGGGCTTCTGGAATAATTTCCCTGGACTTATATGCACCTCCATCCCCTCCCCTCCAACGTAGCCAAGTGATCGGAAGCATTGACTTACAGTTTTGATTATCCAGTTTAATGTTGCATCTGACTATGGCTGATTGTTAATGGTGGTTTGTAGAATCAAGCCAACATTATAAACCATGGTTTAAAGTTGTCTTGTTTTAAAAAACCTTGTTATGTTTATCCACAATATGTTGGGTTTGGAAAGCAAGCTGTGCATAATCAAAAGGGGAACCAAAAGCTTCACAACTACACTAGGGAAGAAGGGGTGAAGCATGTGCACCTGTGAAGAGGTTTGGTTTACTACCTCCATGATAAATCATGACTTACCAGGACAATCAATGTAGCCAGACTTTACTTATGGGTTGCATGTTCCTATCTACAGATTAAAATATTGAATAAGTTTAGTATTTTAAGATAAACTGCAAGAATTATCCTTTGTATGTTCTTTCCATGCACTCTGTGGAGAGAAAGGGAAAAGGCCTGCTGTTTGGTAGACAGTGTTGCAGAATGAAGAAACCAAAAGAGAAAAGTGAATAAGGAAGTGCTGGAAAGTAAGCTAATCCTTCTCTGTGGAATAACCATACCTGGCTGATGAGGAGCAGAAGGGAGCAAGTATACTATGCGAGGAAGCTACACTCAGTCATGAAGAGAAGAAGGCTATGGCCCCAAGACAGTGTCTGAGGGAGGGATGGAATGAACCCTTTCGGAATCTGTCCATCTAAGCTTTTGTAGACTTCCTCTCATGCTTGGCCCAGTGCCACAAAGTTAGCCAAGCCAAGAGGCAATCTGAAAACCTTCATGGACCTCAGTTGCACAACTAGCAACCTTCCCCATCAGGTGCAGTCATCCAAACGGCAGCAGCAGGAAATAGAAAGTGGGGCTGTGAATGGTCATGCCAGGTGCCATTCCCAGTAACTCCAGTGACTTGCTGGCTCTCGGCAGCAGTGACGCTCAGTGCAAAAAGGGGCACTACAAGTGGTTGTGCCAGGTGACAAGCTTCTTCCCCATTCAATGTAGCTCATGGTGGCAGCACAGGGCACAGGAGAGGGGCGCTGCTTGCAAAGTGCATGGGATTCCATTCCTGCTGAGCATCCCATGAATACTGGGAGTGCTTGCCAGGAACTCAGACTCAGGGATGCTGCAAAGTAGATCTGAGTCCTGGGAATCCTCTGAATTCCCACCTCCAAACTGATTCCTCAGACATTCCTAGCCTGAGGAACGATACAGTAGTTTGGATTCCTAGCTCTGAGACTGGAAACCGAGCTCCAAGCTCAGAGTGAGAAACTGGAGCTCAGCCCCCTAATCCCTTTACAGCCAGCACAGAAAGAACTGCACTGATTGCCTCTCTGAAGTTGGAAACTCAACCATGGAGGGGGTTCAAGAGGCCTTCCAGTGGGAATGGAGGAGTCTGGAAAGGTCAGATTGTAAACTATCCTGAGGCCTCGCCAGCTTCTTTTCTTCTTCCTCTGAAATGCTGTTGCTAGATGGGGAAAAAGCCTCTCCAGCAAATATGCAGGGCAGGAGGACATGAAGGTGAAGACTGCTTCCCCTGCTCCTCTTGCCATCAGGGCTTTAACCTTCAAGTTGGGGTGTTAAAGCATGGAGAGGCCATAGGACTTCATCCTACAAGACGTGGATAAGCAAGAATGTCCCTTAGGTTCTTAGAAATTGCAGGTAAGCAGTCGTCTGAAAACCTAAAAATAAATGTTTGCACATATTTGTCTGTACAATATGTGTACAGATAAATACAGTACAAAATGCCTCTTTAATTATTTAAATAATTAAATACCTATGAGCTCAGAGATTATCTCCTTTCAAAGGTGCCTGCCTGTAGCCCTTCTGTACAAGTTCTGGGCCCCTTTCTTTCAAGCCAGGATATCTGCCCAGAGGAGTGACACAGGAGATGGGCATCTCCTGAGATTAGCTCATTTTTTATCTTATAGGCCTTTCCTGCTGCAAGAATGGTTGCAATTCCAGTTCTAATTTGGGAGAAGTTAGTGGGAGGAATCCCAACACTTGCTACTGAGATAAAGCAGTGAAATACAGCTGTGATATCTAGATAAATCATAATTGTGGGAAACCTAGATTAGTGGAAAACCTACCAATTCCATTGGACACTGTAAGAAATTCAGCAATACTACAAATCTAGCTAATGAAGAACATTGCCTTTCTAGAAACATTGGTTCTTGCTCTCTCTCCTAATGGCATAATTTATCCCTCCATGAAAATCTATAGATCAAACTCTGCAAGAGCTGGACCAAGATTCTGTACCTCAGAAAGTTCCTAAATGGATGCTAAGAGTATGCTAGCATTTTATTTTTGAGGTCACATGATTTAGCACTTGCTTTAGTGAGACTTGCTGCAACATAATTCAGTTGAGCAATCTTTTTTGATATCAATGCAATACTCAAATTGCTGTTCTTATTAGCCTTTTATCTTAGCAGGGTTCTGCAGAAGCAGAAAAATCAGCAAGAGAAGCTTTTTCCATCACAGCATTGGCATTGCCAGGAAAAAAAAGAAGCTAGCTGGATTTCTGCCTGTCACCTATGGCCCTTCTTGTACTAATTGGATTACTCTAGAATGTCATCTCAAATGGAGAAAAATGGTTGGAGGTTATACCCTAAATTGAAATTCAAAAGACAGGGGAAAGACTCATAGTTAGCTGGGCATGCTGGATTACAGGATTTTTCTCTGTCTAAATTTGCAAAGGATTATGCCCCAAGTTGATTTATTTTAGGAACTGAGCCAGAATGCACATTTCAAACCTATGCGAATACATATTTGGACTTTCAGTAGATACACCATGCTTCTGTTTATTTTTTCAGCTAGTCTCCAACAGTTCAGCATTTAGACTTTCTAAATATTTAGGTTTTCTACTGAGGCAAGGAGATTGGTATTATTGTTGTGTCCCGCAAATATGAATGAGACCAATGGACGACCAGAATATGGTTTGAGGATTTTAATACCTGCGCAGGGACCAGCACGCTCACACAAGGATGGGATGAGTGTGGCCCCCAGTAGAGGAACAGCGGGGTTTTTATACCTTGTTACAAACAAATGGAAAATTGTTATTGGCAGCCTAAGCGAGCGAGCATGATACAGAAGCGAAACGGTTTGCAGTTAGCCTATCCTTTGATACAGAAGGGGGACGGTTTGCAGTTAGCCTATCCTTTTAAGTTTTGCGCCTTTGATAAGCCTTGCCCACCTTCTGAGAGAACACCCTGTATATGCCTGGGGCAGCTGATAAGCCTCCTGTTATGCTAACTCTAGTACCAGGTGGGTCGAGCCTAACAATTATTTCTTCTTAACAGGTATATCTGCATCTCCAGTCTCCTGCAGATACAAACCTGATTCATGCCAAGCACTCAATATATTGAATTAGTTTCTTGACACTACCATGGTTATAATATTTTGCACATTCATCAAGACATTTGATCACACCTTACCTTCACCATCTTTTCTCCCCGCTAATATATCTGCACCAACCATGGTCCCTACACCCAAGAGGCAGACAGCCACCGCAATGAAATGGATCAGTTTGTATCTTGCATGAAGGATAAACCATGATAAAGCCATCAGCACGGGAATCCCAAAACAGTCCAGAAGCTGCCATGTATAGAAGGAAACAGATCTCAGTCATTAAAAAAGAGTCACAGTGCTAATTTCTGTATCAGGTAACAAACATTCAGATATGCTTTCTAACCTGTGTTTAATGGCCTACAGAGTTAAATGACACTGAATGGGATTTAAGTCCAATTCCAGATTTTCCTGAGACAGTGACACTGCTGAATTGCATCTTAAAGCCTCTATTTGCACTACCACTTTTTGCCATGCAAAGCACAGCTTCTGAGATATTAAAAACCTGCTTATTCATATTCCAGTGCAACCTGATGCTCCAAAGTCTAGGGGTACAGGATTCTTCAGACTCCCAGATCAAGGCCTGAAAAAAGGAATCCCAAGATAGAGCAAGGAATCCATGCTTGGATCTTCACTATACCTTGCTTCCAGAGCCAGCATAGAAACAGCTGACCTAGCTGATTCTCCAAGCTTGTACGAATGAGTAAGGGGGGGGGGGGGCAGTCCAGAGAGCTAGAAGGAGAAGGGTCTAGATTCACCAGGATACAATATATCTGGATGGTGCTCTAGCCTCCTTCTCTACCTGTCCGAAACCTCACAACTCCACAACGGAAGCTGGATTTCTAGCTGCCTTACAGGTCAGAAGGAGCAGGGACACAGATATCTTCTCCACCATTTCCCCTACCATGCATAGGATACTCATAACCATCTGCATTTGAAGGTTCCTCGACATCCCCATTGGATTGTGCCCTTAGTACCAGCAACCCAATAAAAAAAGCGACTTTTCCTGAAAAAGAGATTATCAGCAAGACGGATTTCAAGGGGAATTTTCTATGAAAAGTGGCAGCTGCTGAACAAGAAGACAAGGGTTCTGTTTCTTTTTCTCAGTGAGACTTCACAGTGAAGCAACTCAGACCTTCTGGCTGCTGTCAGCTGCTACTTGTTCTGATATCAAGGGAAGCCATGAAAGCCTATAGCCAAACCACTCAGTTAGTGATGAGCGGCAGAAGGAAGCTTAGCTCTGGAATTGCAGGGCTCATGAGCAAACTTTGGCAAATTAATCAAGGTCATCTGTGCTTGGTGCAAAGAGATCAAACCAGTCAGTCTTAAGAGGAGATCAACCCTGACTGCTCTTTAGAAGACCAGATACTGAGCTGAAGCTCAAATACTTTGGTCAGCTAATAAGAAGGAACAACTCATTGGAGAAGACCCTGATGCTGGGAATGATTGACAGCAAAAGGAGAAGGGGAGGGCAGAGGATAAGGAGTCACTGGGGCAGTGGGTGTGGGCTTGGGTGGCCTCTGAGGGGTGGTGGTGGACAGGAGAGCCAGGAGAAATGTCCATGACTTTGCGACTAAACAAACAAAATCTGTGCTTGGACACCAAGGTCTTTTGAATGACACTGGCTGGGACAGCTCCATCAAGGGCTTTAGAACCTTCTAATGAAAAGGGCGGACAACACTTCTGCTATAGAGGAAACTTCTCAAAGATAACATTTTTTTACAAGAAAAGTAGTGTCTGGAGTGCTGATAGATAATCCAACACCCAGAGGTACTCTACTTTTTTCCCTATGGATATTCCCTTTAGCATAACTGACCTATATAACCATAACTGGCATTAAATACTTGATCTGTTGATTTGTGGGCTGAGTGAATCTAATTTTAACATTAAAAATAGCCAGGCTGGTGACATGCAACACTGACTTCAAACAGCTTCTGGCCACTTATTCCATTGGGATGCAGCCTGACCCAGAGGGGATATCCCTTTGACAGACAGCCTTTCATGTTTCTTTACAGCCAGATCTTACACATGTTTACTTGGAAGTACGTCCCACGGAGTTCAACAGGGCTCACTCCCATGAAAGCATGCATAGGAATATCACAGCCTTAACTGCTGAGAAACAGTAGTGGCCATCTTGTCATTATCAACCTCAAAAAATCTATAAAGCACTTCCTCAAATTGAAAACAATCCAGCAACAGAAGCAACAATATTGTGCTTTCTTTCTTATCCAAAGAAAGCAGCTGGAGATCTCCCATGGTGTGGAAATTGCAAGCTTGGGGGAGTGTTTTAGAAGGGTGTACATTACAAATAATTAACTATGTTAAAAATATATTACCCAATTGACTAGGGACCCCCTTTTAATTAATAAAAAGTTTTTCACTGATGAAACTAAAAGGCTACAATCATTACTGTTTTAATTTAAGGCAGAGTTCTGGCTGAACATTTATCCTTAAACATTTTGAAGTGAAAAGCTGAACTTTCAGGAGGGGCAAATAGTCCCCACACCCAAACCCTCCAAACTTCTCCTTTTGTGACAAATCTCACTTTTTCACAACCATTTATAGCCTCCATCAATTTGTGCTTTGGAACAAGTAGTAATTCTTGCTTTTTATTTTCCAAGCAAGAATCGCATAATGAATATGTTGGTCTCACAGTACAATAGTGAGTCAAATTTGGTTACATGATAAGATCACCGATGCCGCTGCACTTTCTGGGGCTCAGAGAACCAAGCTGCTAGCTGCTTCCTATCTGAGATCATGCGGCAGGTTCATTGCTGTAGTACAGCGTGGCAAATCAGGGAGTGCTCAGCTATGTTTCCCCAGTACTCTTTCAGAATGATGGCTATCAAGCATAATGGTCACACACTTTCACTCCCTTCTGCAGAGTCCTTCAACATTATTAGCCAAAAGACAACACAATGGGTGGCTTGTAAATGTCAGCAAGCTACTTTATCAGAATAGCTAATGGTGAGAAATCATGGAAATTAGAGGCCAAAGCATCTAGAGAGCAACAAGTTACCAACCCCAGTTCTAACCACTACTTCCTGCTGGCCTCAGTGGTATCTGCCTACAAAATCTCATGCCACAGCAAATGTCTTTTAAGGTGCCACAAGGCTCTTTGGTTCGGTTCGGTTTTCTACCTGGACACTTGTTAAGGTGGTGTACTGGTAGGCTTTTACAGTGGTGTAGTTAGCTTCCACATCAACCAATCCAAGCAAAATGTACTTCCACCATTTCCTCTTCAGGATTGTCAAGAGGCTGTCGCCATCTGGAGAAAGAGTAGAAACACATGCAGACATGAAGATATGAGACAGCTTGCCCACCAAGTTCTTCTGCAGAGGTTCTTTTTGTGTCCACAAATATCTAAGCCAGTAGCAGCTGCAACGTCAGGGAGCAGTGCATCTACTCCAAGTTTCAGTCTGAACTACGGACAAGTTATTTATGGTGTTGAACTTAATTCAAGACAGGGATCAGCAACACAGATAGTTCCTTAAAAGCTCAGGCTAAAAGCTGAAGTAGATACTTCATCCCACTGACATTGGAGCTTCCATTGAGCCAAGCGGCTCTTGACTGGGGTAAGAAAGACCTTTTCAATGGTTGCACCCAAATTCTGGGATTCCTGTCAAGCTAGTTCCATCATTAGGCAAAGCAAGGTAGTCATCTTAAGCAGCTGATATTGGGTGCCATAAATCAAGAGAGAAGTTTGCCCTATTTTCTGCCTCAGGTGCCAAAATTACTTTAAGTGGTCAATGAGTACTAAATACCTTGACCAGATGTGAGACAGGGATTTGCTCTGCCTTAGGCAGCAAAATATCTTGGGCCAGCCCTACCCCTAAGGGAGGCCTGTCTCAGCCCCTTTTTCATGGTCTTTCATCCTTCTGTAAAGATTTTTCTATATCTACACAAATTGGGCTGTGGAGCTCCAGGCATTTGGAGAATGAATTATTGAATGTTTATTTTCCCTTATACACAAGTGTCAATTGATTATCAGCTGTTACTTCCCTCTTTTATTCTCATCAGTTTGCATTTTAATCAATTGTATCGGAAGATGCAAACTTTCAGAGAACACCCTAAATATTGAAGCATCTGCTAGAGAACATCTGCCTATGGTGGGGGATACTGCACATGCGCACACACATACACACAGAGCTGACACACAACATTAGAGAAGACAGTTAAACCTCATTTTCACCCCACATGAAGTGAGTGCCAAGAACATACTCAACCTCTGCTGGACATAAATAATGTAGATAACCAGTAATGGAGGACAAACTATCTTAAATACCGTGACTGTGTTCTCATATGTGATATGCACATGCAGAATGAAGTCTCAGAAACCTTTTAGTAAAGTGGATTGCAGAATGCAGGTGGGGTATGCTATTTCTGAGTGCTTTCCCATGTTAAAAAAAATTCCAGCAGTTGGAAAACTGGCATGTCTCAAAGATAGGTGCTATTATAGTCCAACTCGATTTGTTAGTTTTGTAGTCATGGTGAATTTGTGCTGCTTTAAACAGTGAGGCTTCTCTTACTACAGTCTAAAATGGCATGCCCCATTTTATCATCTCAAAACTGTACTTCTTCACTCTATTACATGTTTAGACTATGTATTACTGAAAAACTTGACAGGTTCCCAGAGTACCCCATGTTCTCTGGGACAGTGGTTCAAAAAATGTTGCTTTAATCTGAAAACATTCAAGGAAAATGTTTAATTGTGTTCATCAATATGCATCTCTGAATACAGGGGAAATGGTGAAGACCACTGCAGACAAAAGCATTGAGGATCTGTACCCAAAATGGCCCCTTCTGTTCCAAAGTCCCAAAGACAGGGGTAGGAGGGAAAACCCAAAACAGCATGCTCAGCCAGTTGCCAGGGAATGGTGACCTTTGGGATGGAAACAAAAAACCAATCAAAGGCAGGGGGTAATAGAACAAAGTGTCCTCAAGATGGGCATGGCTGACTGACAAGAACACAATGCAGAACTATTTTACACTGAAATGTTTTGTTACAGATTACATAAATACCTTTCCTAAAGGCCAGGGTCATCGTGTATACTAGGAAAAGCAAGCAATAGTTGATGAAACTCTGTAGCATCGGAGTGTTCACGTTGCAATTCTTAGCTAAGGATTGACTTGTGACTGCAGTCCCACAGATGAACAGGGAAAGCATCTGACCCAGGAACAGTGTTTTCACTGTGTACCTGCAAATGCAAAATGACACAAGTTAGAAGGCCATGATTTCATTCATTCATAAAATGAAACCCTTTACACCACATGAATTTTGGAAGCACCCTGGTGACTCCTTTCACCAGCCAGGCAAGCCTAAACAATGGAATGAAGTGTTCCGTCTGCCCCACAATCCCAGAGACTGAATAAGCAGGGCTAGAGGTACCAATTTGGAGATGGTGCTTCAGGCAAGAAATATTTGAACTTGTTTTAGCTGCTTAAGTTGTTTAAATATTGTTTTAAATTTGGTACTGAAAACTTATGCTGCTTTATTTTATTGCTATTTTCTAGTTTATTGTCCAAGACAAATTGTTGTAGAGACTAAGGCTACTGGATGATACAGAAGCATAAGTGTCCTTATTAAGCATAAACAGGCATAAACACAGGGGTGCTATTCCAAATTCCAGAACCTGCCCTGCCAGCTCTGAAACTTGTTTTCCTTGTTCATGCTGTTGGCAAAGGTTAACCATAGTCTTTCTTCTACTAGAAAATGAACTCCCAAATCAGAAGTCAATTTGGATTTTTGAGGAATGAAGACCAGTGCAGACATTCTAGCAGGAAACTTAAGTGCAAATGATGTGAAAAAAAACAGCTGGGCACCAATATCTAGAAGCCTTGGGCAGCTGCCAGACTATGGTGGGATTCATGGATGATACCTACCCTGTAGCCACCTTATTTTTAGTTCAGCCTAATGTTTTGGAAGACTATAAAAAATCTCCATAAAAGCTGCACTTGCTTTGGTGGCTCTTAAGTTGTGCCGTTTGCAGAGTTGTTAATTTGGGAAGTTGCAGGAGTGATATGAAAAGCACAATACAAAGGATTTTAAATACATATTTAACAGCATATATGCATATGCATTTCCTGTCTACTTTAATCCCCAGATCTTGCAGACAAGCTTTGTTTTGTTTGGCTCCACCTGCATATTGGCCATACTGGCTGGAAATGGTGGGAACTGTAGTCCAGTACATCTGGAGAGATCTAGGTCAGGAAAGCCTGACCTTAAGACTTCCTACATCATGTGGTATCCCTGCAATGGCTTCATTTTATTTCCTTTTCTTTTTTCAGGTTTTGATTTTGACTATGACATTCACAGTAAAAAAGATAGTAAGAATGGCTTCATCTGTCACCACTGCCTTTAATTTTAAAAATGTGTAATGTTTATGTCTTAATTTTCTCTTATTGTCAATTGCCTTGAAGGTTATTGTCAGGAAGAAAACAGCACAATAAAGAAATATTGGCAGCATTCTTTGCAGTGTTTCTCACTAGCCCAAATGTCCAAATTTCGCAGTAAAATTATACAGAGCTAATTTGATGCACCAATTGGTAACAAAATGAATAGTTCTGGCTTGCAAAAGACAATAAATACTTAGATTAAACCAAAATGATGCACCCATCAGAAGTGCTGTTGAACCTATCTGTGAGGCGCCACTACTGAGAAGGCCCTTCTTACTTCAAGGAGGACTCCCAGAGAAGGACCTCTGCAGAAGATCTTAAGGACCAGGCAGGTGTATACGGAAGGAGGCATTCCTATAGATAACCAGGCCCTGAACTTTTTATATGTTATTGTCAACTCCTTAAATTGGGCCCAGACCTCCAGCGGTAGCCAGTGAAGATGGTACAGGACCAACGTTATAAGGTCACATCTGCCAGTCTCTGTCAGTAGCCTGACTACTCTGTGTTGTACCAACTGAGGTATCCAGATTGTCTTTCAGGGTAGCCCCACATTAAGCCCTCAGGCTGGAGGCTTGGGATCCCTGCTTTACAGGATTAAAATAATTGTACAGAGTACCTAAATAGGAACTTCGAAATGTTACTTTCCACGTGGAACAAGCAGTCGATGTCCTTGCGTAACCAGCATCTCCCTCTTCGCTAATTTCTCTAATTGTTCTACTGGGATGGCTATTGATTACCAGTGTTCTTATCAATTATTCATCAGCCCATAAATAAAAGAACAATTATCTTTCCCTCCCAGCACTTGGCTGCATCTCTCTGGTCTGCTTTAAAGTGACACTAAAGATTAATTCCTTTCTTGGATGAGGTAATGGAGGTGATCTCAGACAGTCTTTTAGTTAGACACTGCATGGTTTTGATTTATTTTGCCAACCGTAAGCCGCAAAAGGGCAGCTCCCTCTTTAACCTTCCATGTATATACTATGAACATGGAGCACTTCGACTGTGTCCTCTGACCCCACCTTCAGTGCCTGCATATGCTCCAGATGCACCTGTGCATGCCTGTGCGTTCAAGGGAATGGCTACTGCAAGGTAAGTCGTGTTTTACTAACCTTTTGCATTATCATTAAGGAGAGTGCGCCTTACCAAGGGTACATCTATAGAGAAGGGGTTGCACATTTTCCCCTGGGCAGCCATGGGCAGAAGGTAGATTGGAGTCTACTGGTAAATCTGAGTGATGTGAAATACGCACAGCCACGTCCTTTTCAATAAAGCACTATTTTATACCAGGTATTTATGCTGTGCCTGTTCTATACATAATCAACTGCTTGTCTAGTCTTGTGGTTCCAAGACTGTCAGCTCCACAGCACAGGTTTGGCCCAGTCCTTTGTGCTTCTTTTCTCCCTTCTTCCACCCACACCAAACCAGTGCAGCGACAGGCAATGGCCCTCCTGAAAAAGAGACAGAGGTAAACCAAGTAGTTTACCTTCAAAGTCAAGAAATCTTACTCCATCTCTGCAGGCTCCCCCCCCCCTTCTTGCCCATCATGGAGGACTTTATAGGCCTGGTTCTTCTACTACTAGACTTCCTTCCCTTAAGACCCACCGGCACGCTCCCAACATCCAGCTGAGTTGCCACATTATCCAGTCTGCACAAAAATGCTACTTACAAATAATGGAATTGCCACCATATTCTACCTACACACCATGATACAGGAGATGTTTCCCCATCATGTTATCCTATATCATTGTTATCCCATGTATGTGAATAGCCAATCTTCCTGCTTCCTCTGTCCCAGCTGCTGGTACAGTGGTGGGGAAAATCTATGTAACCAGCCCATCCCGCATTGTTTGGATATTCACACATAGATTAGGTCTGGACAGCATGTTGTCACTCATTAAGGTTCTTTAATTCACAATGACCTTGGGTCCAATGACCTAGGGCCACCAGGATAAAGAACCCCCACTTGCCGGTTGTCATGTGCACCCAATGAACATGGTTATACAAGGGTTCAACAACCTTCACATAACCCTGAAACAGACCAGGGTTTGTTTAACCATCATGTAACCTACGTTTGCTGGATTCACACAATGCAGCATCTGAGCAGAAGCTGAATATTCTTAATGGTAATGGTATGCACTCCATATGTACCACACAGTCATTATGAGTTACATAATCCATGGTGGGTTGTCTTGTTGTGTGAACAGCCCTATAGACTGCAGCAGCAAGGACTGTACCAGCCACAACTAATTCCATGTCACTTCAGATATGTGCAGAAGATGCCAGTGACTGGAGCCATGAAACAAGCCTTCACTTCCTGCAACACTGATGCTGCCACTTTCAGGAGATAAGCAGCTCCAACACTCAAAATACAGGATTTTAAATTGTTCTTCTGTCTAAAGAACTTTAGAAAAAAATGTATCTGCTTGATTTTAAACAAAAACTAATTAGTACCCTCAATATTTTTTAAATCTACCCCCCCTGTCCAAAAAGCACACTATTCCCACCCACAGGGCTCATAAACGTGCTTCGTAACTGGCAAAGTGAGACTTAAATGTGTGATTGCAGGTAAATGTTTAACAGTCAGGTTACTTACAACCCAGGCAGATTTCTTAAAATTAACAGATTGTTCAGCTATTGTGTCAGAATATTAAATTAACTCAGAACTGATTTTACTACATGATGTAGAAATTACGCTTGCAAATCAAAAAGAACTCATGGAGCTGCAATAACTTCAAAATATATGATGTTAATGATGTGTGATACTCTGTGGAATCTGTATATGCTTACATTGGATCATGCTGAACATGGTCAATATTACAATGCAATGCAGTAATTTACAATATAAACCCAAATGTGTCCACTCAGAAGTTCTACTGAGTTTAATTGGGCTTAGTCCTGAGTAAGAACTCATTTCTGACATGTAAGATTGCCCTGTGCATCTGTTTCTCACAACTGGGACTGAAATAGCTGCTAAATGGAAGTATAATAGTAACAACACTGTTGACTTAAAACAGTCCGGAGCATGTTGTCCCTGGCAAAAGTAACAAACACTGTCAGCTTCTGAAAGAACAGAGAAAAACATGATTTACATCCAGACGACCAGAGAAGCTGCAGTGAAGTGCAGAAACCTAAGAGCAGACTGTAGATTTTCTCTGTGGTTTCAGGAAACTACTGCGTCTGGATGACTTGCCAAACCAATGCTAAGAAATCATCATCATTTTCGTGACGTGTGAACTCAGCCAGTAGAAGTTGAGTTATATTTCTTGTATTGTGAACAGAACCATTTAGGGCATGATCTTGTACCTTTTTAAACAGCAAAAGGCTTAAACAAAAAAAGCACAGTTGGCTAAGGAATGCTAAAGTGGTAGAACTTTTTAATATCTAAATATGCATAGGATTGCATTTTTATGTTATCAGACGGCCACATGGGAGACAGCACTACAACAGTTTTGTCAAATGGTGAAGTTCATTTCTCTCTCTCTCATTTTCAGCTCTATTATCTTTCATATGGAAGCAATAATATTTGGGATTTATATTTATTATTATTTATTACCTATATATCCCACTTTTTCCCTCTTACAAGGAACCCAAGGCAGTTTACATGGACCTTCTCTATTTTAACCTCACAACAACCCTGTAAGGTAGGCTAGCCTGAGCGTATGTGACTGACCCAAAGTCACCCAGTGAACTTCATGGCCCAGTGGGGACTAGAACCCTGATCTCCTGAATCCTATTCCAGCATACTAGCCACAAGGGCTCTCCAGCATTCCATTAAAGTTCTAATGTTCAGAGCTTCACATAC